CTACTGATCGATGTATCGAAGCAGAGTCTGAGACTCATAGCCAAACTTTGAGCAGAATGCATGGCATTTTATGAAAGAAGGGGGATATAGAAAGGCCTGGAGGGGACAGGAGCTCCAAAAGGAGACTAACTGAGTCAAAAAAAAAAAAAAAAAAAAAAAAAAAAAAAAAAAAAAAAAAAAAAAACCTGAGCTCTGGGGGCCCTGAAGAGAATGACACTCCAAACAAAGACAATGCATGGAGAGGACCTAAAATCCAGCTCAGATGCAGCCCATAGACTCAGTCTCCAAGTGTGGTCCCTAGTAAGGGGAGCAGGGGTTTTCTCTGACATGAACTCAGAGGCAGGCTTTCTGATAACCTCTCCCTGGGGGGTGCAGCCTTGCCAGGCCACAGAGGAAGACAATGCAACCAGCCCTGATGAGACCTGATAGGTTAGGGTCAGATAGACTGGGAGGAGGACCTCCCCATCAGTGGATTAGGGGAGGGGCATAGAAGGAGAAGAGGGAGGGAGGGATTGGGAGGAGATGAGGGAGGAGGCCACAGCAGGGATACAAATTGAATAAATTGTAATAAATGATAATAATAAACAAAAACAACAACAAAATAAAACCAAATGCTCAGAAAGCACCAGTGTTTACATGGGCTGGAACAGTGAATGCCTGTAGTGACTACATTAATTGCTACAGGCTAAGTTATATTTACTGTGATTTGCTCAAGACAGTAGAGATCTGCATAAAATATTGTAGACTAATACTCATTCAAAATGATTAAAACTTCAACGGCAATGGGAGACTTGAAGAGTTGGTGAGGGAGGAAATTAAGCTCTTAAGTGCCTGATGCTTTTCTCATTGTTCCATTGATTTACAACATGGAATGTCAGATTTAGCAGGCATCTGCCCTACTTCCTGAGATGTTTGTATATAGGGTTGAGTGTGAAATCACTATGGCTTCCAATCCAGCAGATCCTGTCATCTAGGACGGGGAATCCTGGCTAACCCTGCCTTTAAAACCTAGATCTCTCCATTGCATAGCCAAGGTTGGCACGTAACTACATAGCAAACATCACCACACCCTGAAACTTGAGCTTGCAGCAGACATGATCTAAGCCCTCGCAGCTGACCTGTCTCGTGAGCATTCACCTGCATGAACTGTGCCTCATCTGTATTAAGTATTCATGAGTGCCTCCACTCTATGAGGTTCTGTGTGTAACCGCCATATACCTACCCCTGCCACACACACAGAAATATCTTAACAGATATTCCCTCTCCTATGTTCACATTTATTTTTGTGCTTAGAATTTTCTATTCTTTTTTTGTATTTAATGTCCAGGACATAAATATATCTATAAAAACAATATTTCATGTTCAGCTTGTGCAAAATTGGCACACTCCTGAAAGATGGTTTGCAACAGGATGGGCCCTCACTACAGAGGCAACGCCATCTCCCTTAGAAGCTACAACATCAGGAATGCCTATGGCACTCTGCTGTACCCAGAGCTGCCATCCCAAATAACCAGACTGTGCCTTCCAGATGCCCTGTCCTAACTGCTCATGCAAGGTTCACTTCCTCACAGTGCGTTCTGATCACAGAACATAGGAACTGGATGATGTGAAGGGGTTACCTGCTCCAGCTCCTTCATCAGTGACTACAGAAAATCTTCCAAATGCTGTGGTAGGGCCAGGCCATGTTTAGAATTAATTCATGCAGTTAAGCAACTTGGGAATTTGAAATGTATCTCTGTCACTAAACTGTGCAAATGGAAGCAAATTGCTTTCCTTTTTTTTTTGGTACCCAAACTTGCACATCTAAATGATGAGGGTAATAACAGAATCTATTACAAGGTTGTTGGGTTGATTACACAAAGCAAAATTGGAAACTGTCTTTACAACAAATGCTACTGAGATGAAAAAAGTCTTTATTTTCATGCACAAATTTTTTGAACTCAAAAAAAAAAGATATTCTCCTCTGCAAATATTGAATCAAGGTGCAAATAACATTGGCAAAAGCCACAAATTCTTAATCAGTGGACGTGAATCAAATCCACACATCTCTGATGTTAGACCTGTCTAACTCATATTCTCTGCTGCTGTGACCCTTTTATTCTGCAAGCTTGTGGCTGACTGAGATCAGTATTCAGACAGTGTTTGCCCTTTGTGTTTGCCCTTTGGGTCTTTGTCAGGTTACTGTTGGGTCTTCGCTCCCATTCCTCCCAAATGTAACATTTATGCTAGCACATCCACGTGCCTGCAATACGTCCTTTGACTTATGATTTTTTTTTACCCCATTTAGCATGGCATGTTATAATAAAATATATGTATCTGCATGTTTTTTCAGGTTGTAATCTATCTGCAAGTGTTCATTATTGTTGGGTTTGGCCACCAGTATATCAATAGTATGGATAAAGAATGCTTACAATGATATGATAGATGTTCAAAACATTTTTATTAAAAAAATAAAGGAAAAGTAGATCAATCATTTACTTAGATGAATGAAATCCCTTCTCTAGATGTTGAAAAAGAACTTCCAGCACATCTGTTGCTTTCCTTCCTAGGCTCAGTCATCACCACTTATACAGGGAGAACGCCACACCAGAAGCCACAAGAACCCATCTTCTAGTTCAAGCCATCTTACCTGAAGCAGTATGAACACACCTTGCCCCTCTAATCATGCTCAGTCATGTCTCAGAAATGTTCTGCACTTGGCATTCATTGGCATGTCTCCAATCTGCCCTGCTTATGGCCTTTCCTAGCTGTTTACAAGCGTTCTCGTATTGTTTTAAAGCTAACTCTTCTCATTAGCTGGTATGTCTCAAATCCTAACCATTATTGTCTGTTTTAGATCAACTGTAACTATACTGCCTTGAATCTGCTCCAGAACGCTTCCGTTCCTTCCTCTCACAGGACTTCTTCTCCCTATGGCGTTGGGTCTGGTAAAACCATTAGGGACTGTTTCTTTTTTATTTCTGCATAGTTCTTCTTGGGACTATGAAAATTCCAGGCTCTTAAAATTTAACACAAACCATGACAATGTAAGAAGTTAGTTAAATAGAATACAGATCACACCAAATACCCAGCTTTCAAGCAGATGCCTTTAGAGGCAAGAAAATTTCAAGCGGAGAAAAGACAATCTGTGTACCAGCCTGGGTTGTCAATGGTGTAATGTCCTGATCTGCATGTTACTCTTTGGCATTTCATCTACTTTGAATGATCTTCTCCCTATTACATTAAAGTTGCATTTCTCACCAGCTGTTTTCCCAAATTTCAAACACCACTTCAGCCTGACAGTTCCAATTTCTCAAGCAACTCATAGAGCTTCTTGTGGTAAGTGCTTGTCGGTGTTTCCAAGATGTTAAAAGTTCATATTGTAAGGCCTTGAGAACATCACATGTATCTGGCAATCCTGAAGCCATCCATGCTCAAAATCTCTATACCATGACTGCTGTATAATGTTTTAATCTCAGTGCTCTAAATATATATGTATACATTTATACTATGCATAATGTATTTATGTAAATGATATAAACAAAGTCAGGTGCATTCTTACTTAAAAGTTTCACCTATTTCTAAATATTCCAATCATTTTCATATTATTATTGGAGACTGCTTTTATAGTAAAGAACCATATTATTTAAAACGAGATGTGTTTCGACCCAGCATGTAGGTAGACATAAGGACGTCAGTAACCTTTTCTCCTTCAGGCCCCAGAGAAAACTGTCATTAGATTGTAATTTAACTCAATATCTGTTATTTTTGCAGATTTAACAAAACTTCAAACCTGACCCCCCGAAGTCTGCACACATATGCATATGCCCTATGGCTCCTTCCTCCTTGCACACCAACCGCAAGTCATGAGTATGAAGCCTTACTTGATTGAGCCTGACCCTGGTCTATGGCATTATGCAAAAAAAAAAAAAAAAAAAAAAAAAGACACAACGGAGAAGAGAATTCTGCTTGAACAGCTCAGCTCTGAACATCCCAGAGCTGTTCATAACCTTGGTAAAGCAACTACCGGCGCAATCATGGCCAGCCGAGCCAGAATAGATTGGCATCTCAAAAGATTCAGGTCTGGATTCTTTAATAATAAGAACACAAATAGTAATTCCTTGTGGCTATTGGCACTTAATCTTCCTGTACTACCTCCCATCATGCTGTTAAATAAATTAGTTTTGTTACAACAAAACTATGAAGAAAAACTGGTTTATGCCACTTTAACGGTATATGTGGTCAATGATGTGCCCAAAGCCACAAGAGGAACAAATTAACAAAATTGGAATTATACTCCTAGAAACCTAACTTTAGACACCAGTTCCTTTTCTTGGAATCTTTTGGTCAGTACTGGTAGTCTGACCCTCTAGAAACTCAGAGGACCAGGGTCAGGGACATGCAAAGACGATACTAATGTGTTACAGAATTTTCTGAACAACTTGTACTACATTCATTGACATAAATTGTTTAGGGTGAAGACTATGAGAAAGTGTGCGACAATCACCTGTGTAATGTCCTTGGAGCCGGGGAAACATGCCTGGTAAGCAGTGTTTATTTTCCAGTGTTTGTTTTTAATAGTTATTCCCCCCCCCTCCCAGAATTTCCTTTTCTTCTTCTCCTCTTCCTCCTCTTTCTCTCCAACCCCATTCTCTATCCTTCTTTCTCTATACCCTTCACCTCACCCTCGCCTTCCTTTTCCTACCTGCTCCTTTCTTCCTACTTATATAACCCAAATCAAGCTTAATTTAGTATATGAAATATTTTCTGTCAAGAGCCTTAGAATTTATTCAGAAGTAAAATACATACAAATCAGCTAGGATGGAGAAGAAGGGGACAAGTGGGTGGGAGAGAAAAAGACGAACACATTTTATTATAGCAGCAAGAAGACAAAAACCACCTTCCAGACTTAAGATGAACAAACAAGCATGATGAATTCACCTTGGGTCAATTCCACCTCTGTAAAGATGTAAATGGTGAGAGCATGCACTCAGCCTCATGGCAGTGGCGGCCACACATACCTCCAGGTGGATACGGCCTTTTCCTCCTTTGATTCCTGCTGTTTCCTTTGTTGATGTCTAGGGATGGCCTCTGGTTTCCAAGGTACTTTTTATTCCTGATGGTTTGTTGTTCTTCTAGCACCTACCAGAAATAGAGAGGCATGGGATACTGAATGATAACAAGACAAATATCCTCCAGCAGGACCACTTAACTCTAGATGTGGTTTTTAAACACACTTTTGGGCTGGCACGCTGTTCTATGTAAGTCCAGAGAACACTGTCATTGGCGTTCTATTCCAGGCTGTGTCCTTGCCTTGCTGGGAGATAGATGAACCTCTCATTCTTTTGGTGTTTTAATTTCCTCAGTGGCTAAACCCGAATCATATATCCAATCTACCTTTCAGAACTTCTGAATGGATTATAGCCGAACCTTTCATAATGCTCTGGTTTAAAAGATCTCTCTCTGAGCCATATTGATGTTTTCAATATTCTATTTTCCCCAAACAGTCATCAATAGGAATCACAAAGGAAATATATCCATATAATTGGATTAATTTTCCGTAAATCCTTGGATGATCTCAAAATGTTTGGCCATGACTAAGCAATGAATTTGAATTTTTGGCAAGTGGTAATCATGTGCACATTTCAAGTATCTGCCTTTTTCTGCATAAAACAATCTGCTTTAACTAATTTTGAGAATATAAATGCTCATATGCAGCAGTATTAGAATACTATTTCTTTGGCCTAAATTCTATGATGACTTGAGAAATCAAGATTCAAAAACAGCCACATGGATGCCAAATCAGGAAGTTGCCCAGACTCTCTAATGTCATATTGTGATAAGGCTGAGGTTATAAATGATTTCTTTCTTTTGTTGTTGTTTTTTACTTTTTCCTTTTATTATTATTTATTACAATTTATTCACTTTGTAACCCAGCTGTAGCCCTCTCCCTAATCTCCTCCCAGTTCCATCCTCCCTCCCTCTTCTCCCCCATGTCACTCCCCTAGTCCACTTATAGGGGAGGTCCTCCTCCCCTTCTATCTGACCCTAGCCTATCAGGTCTCATCAGGATTGGCTGCCTTGTCTTCCTCTGTGGATTGACAAGGAGGCACCTCACCCCACCCCCTCCCCCAGAAGGAGGTGATCAAATTTCTGGCCACTGAGTTCATGTCAGAGACAGCCCCTGCTCCCCACACTAGGGAACCCACTTGGAGACTGAGTTGCCTATGTAAATGATTTCTTAAAGGGAATGTAGTGGAAAGGACTGATATGACAGATGAGGTGGAGGAGAATAGACCTTCCTATGCAACTAGAGATTCAGGGCCCAGTGCCCTATTGCACCTGAGTACTTAACCCTCATCTCAACTCCATCACTGCTCCATGTGCTGCTAAAGATGAATCTGAAAGCCATGGAAGGGGCAAAAATGTGTCTATATTTGGTGGGCAGACTATAATCAACCCCTGGGTACCATATCAGGGTCCTTGCTCCGATGTCGAGTCAAAAATCCACAAGTTGCCAAGTCTGCCTCAGTGGCAAATACCAACCAGCAAACTGACTAGCACCTCTTTGTTTGTCAGAGAAACAATTCCTGGTAGAAGTCCTGAACTGAAGCAGTACAAACCGAGAGGACCGTGTGTGTCTCCTTTTTTCTTGGGGGGGTTTGAGGGGAGCAGAGGCAAAGCGCTGTGTGCAGAAGACACCAGGCTTATTCCAGCCATACAACATGTAATTCAGGTCAAGCTTTAGAATAACCCCCACATAAAAATGACAGTTCTGATTTACTAAACACTTGTGGTGTACGAAGGACTTCAAAAGAGTCATTCCAATTCTTTCTGTAACCTACAAGTGTTCTCGTCACAATTCCATGTGAGAGATGAAGTAGCTGAAGCTTAGATGGGTAAATAATGACCATTGGAACACTAGTACAGCATTTACAACGGGCCAGTTACAAAATCTTTGCCTACACATTACCTGTATACATAAATATTAATAAAGATCCCTATAAAGTAGGTATCATATGTAGTGTCTTATACATTTACTCATGGAAAGCTGATGCATGAAATATTAGAGAAATACAAGTTCATATGACTCCCAGATAATAAATTCGGATTTCAAATCTAGGGAGATTGTCTCCAACAAGGGGGCTCATAAGCACAGTTTGGTACTCTGCAGTATACAGATCGAGTGGCCAAAAAGAGACCCGAGGCTAAGGCCTGTACTCTAAAGACGGCACGTTCTTCATATCTAACTCTAGCTGCTCTTAAGAATAAAGCAGGGGTCTTTCCTGAGACTGCTATTCCAACCAAGGACTATGCATGTAGATAACCTAAGACCCCTGCACAGATGTAGCCCATGGCAGTTCAGTCTCCAAGTGGGTTCCATTGTAATAGGAACAGGGACTGTCTCTGACATGAACTGATTGGCCTACTCTTTAATTACCTCCCCCTGAGGGGCAAGCAGCATTACCAGGCCACAGAAGAAGACAACGCAGCCACTCCTGATGAGACCTAATTGACTAGGATCAGAAAGAAGGAAAAGAAGATCTCCCCTATCAGTGGACTTGAGGAGGGGCATGCATGCAGAGGGTGGAGGAAGGGAGGGATTGGGACGGGAGAAGGGAGGGAACCACGGGGGGGGGATACAAAGTGAATAAAGTGTAATTAATAAAGAAAAAAAGAGAGAGAAAAAGAATAAAGCAGGGAGAATGGGGGGGGTAGGAATTATGTTGAAGGATGAAAGTTTTACCATGTTTAAAAACCAACTTTCTCAGTTAAGTTTTTTTTATTCATTTCTAAATATTAAGGCATATTAAAGAACATGTCTTCACTGTTGCTTAAAATGAAAATTCTTCTCTTGCCTCATCAATTGACTTTGAGTAGGCTCCAAGGCAGGGTCTGGCTCCATCATCAATGTAAGCAAAAAAGACAACATTCCAAGGCTGGAAAACCTAAGTGGCTTCTACAGGAATGCACACTAATTGACATTAAAATGGAGTTGTTGCCTATATCTTCCTTTTTAACCTTGACAAGTGCACAAAACTTCAAGCATGTGCAAAATACTAGGATGTGAACTTTGGAGAACACAGGTTCCTTTTCTTTGAGGTAAGCAAAAGCTACTGAGGAACACAGAGGTGTTGACAGCTAGGAGTAACTTCTATTAGAATGACAAGGAGTTCTTTTGGCTCTTCATCCAAGTTCAAGTTTCTGCTTTGTGTGAGACAGGACAGTCTCAGGTACAATCTGGGGCTCAAATCAAGGCATATAAAGGTGAGCTATGAGTCACTGCAATATGCTTAACTGTCATAAATGAGTCCAGGCAACTCCGTGTGCTTCTAACGTGCCCTGGAGAATTAGGCAAATCACTGTTATCATCGTTACTATTTTATTCTCCACCTACAAGCTTACAGCCTCTTCTCTTCGGTAGGCTGTGTCCCTGAGAGCAAAATAAACTCAACAATTTCTTCCTGCAACAGTTCATGAATATTAATGCCTTCTTTATTTATTGTTTGGCAAAATATGACAAAAATAAAAAATGCACTACAGCGAAAAAGAACAAGAATACACCAAAAATATCTAGCTACTGTCAGGATGCTTATGTCATCACCATTATCAATAAACACACACTTGACAAGCACACAGCACACACTACTTAGCCCCAGAATCCTTTCCTTAGCATTAATTTTTCTGAAAAGGTGTGGGCGATTCTTTAGTTGTTACTCTCTGATTCATGTTGATTTTGGGCTTGCACAGTCTTGGTGTACACAATAATGGCACAGGGAGATAGTCAAGAGCGGCCTCCCAGAAACAGATTCTCAAGGCCTCAGACTCTTTCCTCAGAAAGCTTTGTACTAGAATCCCAAATGTATAAAACAATGGAATTTAAGCAGTTTTGATTGAAAGGAGTAGGCAGAGCCCCTCTATCCAGTCCTCATCTCACATCCCAGCACGGCCCGAAGCAACTCTAAGAAGGCTTTTGAGTTTGCACAGCATACTTGCCATGTCCGTGATCTGGTACATTTTGCAGAGGAAGATCTATAAAATCAAGCCAATTAAAAAGCAGCAGAGGCCACAGAACCCAGAGACGGAGTTGGGACTAATATTCCTACCCCTCAATCCTCATCCAGTAATCTTTACAAACTGCTTCCCGCCTCCCTATTGAGTACTACTTAAGGGTCAAATGAAGATAAGTATTTTATCCAGGCGGCCTGCTCTACATCTCTGGCAACTGACCTCTGAGGCTGATCAGTTGTTCCTGGAAGCATGCTGTGATAAGCAGGTGGACAGACAATACAAAATGCAGAGCAATACAGTGTCTCTGCTTTATGTGTACAGACGTGGTGGTCGGCACGCAAAACACCAAACATGAAATTCCATGAGCTCTGCCAGAGGGAAAAAAAATGAGTCTGGCCATACTCAGAACTTGGCCAAGATTCCAGAAAGTACATCTGTCAATGCTCCCCGATTATCTTTAAGAGAGCTCTTGAATTCAAGGCAGTGCCTGTGAGCCACAGGCAGAACACGTATCAATGACAAAAGAACCACAGTATCCTGGTGCGTGGGTAGTTCAACAAGAGGACAGTGGCATACCGCTAGACAACCTCATGAGACTCCTCTCTGTACCAAGACTTCATTCCAGTGTGCAGGCCCACTCTCCAACAATGTTGACGTCCTGAGCCACTGCCTTGCAACAACTTCAGTAACTGTTACACCGCCTCAGCTGCCACTGTATCACAAACTGAGCTTCAGAGAGCATCAGATGCTATGTCGTGATTCGGGGACGGTCGTGGGCAGAGCGGACTCTTGCCTCTGACACTGTGCTGTGTGTCCTGGTTACTCTACAGTCTGTATTTTTTTTCCTTTTAGAGGAGATGTGTTCTAATATTCAAAACAGGCAGTCTCTCAGCCTGTTCTCATTCTTTGCATAGTGGAAGTGGCTTTGGCCTGTCACCTCTATAGCAGGACCTTCTTGTAGAAAATGTGCTTGAGGGGCTGAAGCGACACCCCGGTAGCTAAATACACTAGCTGTTTTTTCAGAGGTCCCTGACACCCACATAGCAGTTCAGGGAATGGAACACCCTCTTCTGGCATCCAAGGGCACCAAGCGTGGCACGAGCATTGTGCCACCAAACACCCTATACATA